TCCACGTCAATGCCAAGTCAATTGTTCCATGAATGATGACATCAACCATATTATTTTCCAAATCAGCCGCAAGTTGTTCTTGTGTGGCAGCCATGTCACGGGTCACGTGGTTCAGTGCTATTATAAATTTTTATTTTTATTTATTTTTTTCTTTTCTCTTTTAGGATGTCCAAGTTACAATTACAAATTTATATATATATATATATATGAGGTTAAAATTACGATTCGTCGTATCGTTTAGTTCGTAATTCTTTTTAAAGGTTTGATACTGTTACACATTCTTTAAACTATCTGGTTCGGCCGGTTTATATCGATATTCACTCGATTTCATTACATGGCGATCGATACCGCGATAGCGAACCATGATTAACATTTGAATAGCATTGATCAAGCCCTAATGCTTAATATTATGGATTACAGATTATGAATAACATTTTTTTTTCTCATCTTCTATTAAGATTCCTGTAAGTACCTAGTATTCAGGGGGTTCAAAATCATAATCAAGCTAGTAACATACGGTGAGGTATAACTTGCAACATAGTAGAATCTGAGGTGGATTGAGAGAGGTGAAAGTCCAGACAAACTCGAGAGAGATAAAAAGATAATAACAGTGTACAAAAAATACCATTGACTCCCTTGGTGAAGGTATGAAGTGTGGGGAATTATGGATTTGAGATAAAGCCTAAAGTTCTCAAAAATCTGAAGGAGGTCATTTCCTTCACCTTCATGTGTACCTCTTTCTTGGCATATCACATCTTTTTATAGGCCAAGTGAGAGTGAGTGATGTCTTCGATAACATCACGTGTGTGTTCATTTAACAAAATAATTAAAAAAAATTAATTTCTCAAATAATTATAAAATACTGTTAATTAAGATGTGGTTAAACGCTCGAGAGTCAAAATGGTATTTATCTTTCTACAAGTCAAGCCAAATGTCGACTCGACAAATTGTGGACTTCAACCACCAAACTAAAACCTCCTCAGATCTCAGTTAATTCTGAATCCTGCTCCTCTTCTGTTCGAAGCATGCTGATGTCGCGATAACTTTGATCGTTGACTAAGCTATGTGAGTTATCGCTACTGACGTGACGTGACGTGATGTCGTTTAACCGAAGTGTCATGTAAACTCAAGGGTATGACACTCACAGTTTCATATAATTATTTTGCTATAAACTTCAAAACTAACCCCACAGAAAAAACCATAAGGTCACAATGCCCTCAGCAATATTATATGTTTCTTATATTATTATGGTTAATCCAATATATATTAATAAATAAAAATGGGGCATAGATATGGTATTATATACTCCGTAGATACATTACCTGAGATTTTGGCATTGAATGAGAATGAAACAGCACCTGCCCGACCACTGGCGGCGGCTGTCGAACTCACACACGACCGACAATTCACTCTACCGACAATTCACTCCTCTCTTTCGACTCTATTCAATTTCTGCCTACTCATTTAGCCACCTGGTTTCACGTGAACTTTCATGTCAAACTTTGACTGCACTTTTGTGAAATTTTTTTTTTTTTAAGAATTCGTTAGGCCACTCTATAAGGTTTCATTTTCACAAATAAATGTATATATTAAGCAGTAAGGTAAGATATATGACAAATTAGTTCAGTGATTTGGCTTCTATTTGGCCACAAAACAAAACCAAAATAAGATAAATAGTAGATGCATATATTAATGTTATCATTGCTAATTAAATACAGTACAATACCTCTCAATTATATATATGTTGCTGAGTTAAATTTTAATCCCAAACTTTCATTTAGGGAGAGAGAGAGAGTGGTAGCTGGTTATAAATGTTTTTCACGTGGGATATTGCAGTAGCAATGGGCGGTGGAGATCTGCACAGCTTGACAAGTGATAGATTAATAGGTAATAGGTGAATTTCAATCTAACTATTTTATTTATTTATTTTTTTTTTCGTGTTTCTAATTTGAAAGTTGAAACACATAATTTGGAGTCATCTAATAATTTTCAAGACTAGATGTGCCATAAAGTAAAGCGAGACTTTTATCGCTCCGAGTTCTGTCTCTATTGGGAACCTAAACGTGTAACTGTAGCAGCCTAGAGACTACCTCTTACAAAGTTATGGCCTGTATTGATTCTCCGGCAAAATAACAATAATACATATATATATATGCTATGTATACTTATCAAAATATATATATATATATATATATATATGCTATGTATAATTATATATTTCGGAACAGTGAAAGAGGCTCAAAGAGCTGTAATGGGATATCCTTGTCTGTCTATTGTCAAAAAGAGGAGTACGTGCAACCAACTGTTCTTCCACACTAACACCGTGCTTGGGTTAATCCTTTCTCTATCAATAAAATCCTAAGTTTAACTATATCATATTTTTGTCAACTCACAAATTTTACCATCTAGTGAGTTATATATATATATAATTCTTCAGTTAATCCATCTAGTCAGGTGAGGTCCATCTAGTCAGGTGAGGTTGGCACTTCAAAAATAACAAATTAATTTCCCTTTTAGAAAAGATAAGCTAAAATTAATAAATTAAAATAGATGGCTTTGCCCAACAGATTCACATGATTAGATTCTTAAAACTAGTTAATTTACTCTTCCATTTTTAGTTGGGAACATGTTCTTGTATGCGTTTATATATATATATTAATTCTTCGGGTTCCATTTTTTAACAAAAGATTTTTAGTAGCAGTCATGGAATAAAAAAATAAAAAAAAATTGTGTGTGCGCGCGTGTGATAGAGAGAGAAGTAGCTATGCAAGCTTAAGAGTTGAGAATATATCAAGGCAAGCTCAAATGCAAGAGACTGCATACATTGAACACGGGCATAGATCTGAAGCCTGATAAGATCTATTTAGACTAGTTTTTTTTTTTATAAATTTTCTAGAAAAATATTCTCCGGAATTATTGTCGCTGATCAAGAAAAACGGTTTGTCTAAAGAATCTTGTTGTTCATCAATAAAATATGAGAGAAAACATGGTCTTATAAGTTCATTTTTGAGACTAAGGAGCAAGCAAAGACAATTTCTTAATTATAACAGTGAGATAATTCCAATTAGATTTTTTTGAAAAGCAAGATTGATATGGGATGGAATTTCACTACTTTCGGTAAATTTTTGTAAAAGTATAAATATTCTTGGTGAACAATGACTTACAAAAGCCAAAATCTTCTAGCCTAACCGGTAAGATGCCTCCTGTTGATTCTTGGAGTGCATGGTCGGTACCAACCAACCCCCTAAAATTTATCCTTAAAAAAAAAAAAAAAAAAAAAAAAAAAAAAAAAAAAAAAAAAACCAATGACTCATAAAATATCAAATAATTAGATAAATTTTCCTCTAAAGCAATCAATAATTGAACAAGGTTATAAGTTTCACAATGCTTGCAGCTTACAATATTGAATTTGAATTTTTTCTTTTTTTTTTTAATTGGCAAGAAACACTCATACATCTACTCACACACTTTTTGCTTATATTCGGGCTCAAATCCCTTACATTCAAGTATAGTGACAAAAGATTATATCATTAGATTAGATGTCGTTTGGTTATTGAATTTGAGTTCTACAGACAGCTAGAAGTAATTTTATTCTAGGATGAAGATATCACTTCTGAAATTTGACTTAAATTATTATACTTGACAATTTCAAATTTAGATTGAGTAATCTAAAGAAGTTAAAAGAGCATGAAGTTTATATGATTAGTGTCAAGTCTTCAAGTATAGTGACAAAACCTAGTTAAAATGTGAGGGACAAATCCCAGTTAAAGTGTCCAAATGAAGAAAACTTTAATAAATTTTAACTTAATTAGTACATTTTTCGAATAACCTAGTGTAACTCGAGGGTCCAATTCATATATACTCATTTATTTTTTTATCTGAATTTAATATGGAACAAATCCCCACTTGTAACATTCTTTCCTCACTCAAATTCGCGGGTCCAATTCATATATACTCATCCTCTTTCAATCTAAACTCAACGTGAGACAAGTTCTTATTTGTAACATTCTCCTCCGCCTCGCAAAGACTATATTTTAACTATATCTTCTTAATTTCCATAATAGGAGGGTACTGATGCCTTTATAATAAAACACGAGTGAGTGAATTTCTTACTAAAATATTAAAAAAATAAAATATGCTCCACGACCTTTCAAAGTATGTACTATATTGATTTCGTGGTTAAGCTATTTGCAAAACCTTGGATTCTTCATTAGTTTTCAAAGTTTTTACAACTTTACCCTATTCAACTTAGTGGACGACCCAGTCAGTAAAAATACTTTAATGTAATCACACTTAATTTGGCAATTAGATCAAGATTAAGTTAACTAAAGAGAGTACACACATGACAACACACCACCTAAATGGTATTTTGTGTACCAAAGATGGCCTACGCAGAATCTTTCTTCCTCATTTTTGTCAAGTGGACACGAACAATTAACCTTTCTATCTTGTTATATATATATCATTATATTTTATCTTTTACTTTTCTTTTTTACACATTAATATATAAGTATTATGTATCTATACCCCCTACTTATCTGAGTACGCGTGTAGTCACTGTAATGTGTACTGTGTACTATTCTATTATTTACGAGCTAGTGTTGGACAAACCATTATTTTTCCCTCAATGGTGGTGTTATACCAACATTGATACAACATGTACAATATTGACTTGTTTTATAATAATAACAATAATAATAATTCCATGTTTGAATCAAATACCATATATAATGTAAAAGAAGGAACAATTTTATAGTGCTAAATGCAATAGAGTATACAAAATAAATAAATAAATATATATATATATATAAATAGTTCATAAAAATAGACACATTTGATAAAATAAAAATAAAATAAAAAATGTTCATACAAATTATCAACCATTTGGAACAACTGGGACGAAAAAATCAATAAGAGAAAGGTGGCTGTGATTTTTACTAACAGAATATCAATATTGAAATTAACGATTCTAATAAAAAGACGAAATGGCTTTTAAAGAATTGAGTAGGGAACTAGGGATGATAATAAAGAGATAAACGTACCTTCAGTTTCATCTACAAAATTTAAAAAAGAAGAGATCAAAAAACCCAAACACAGAAGTTTGAAATAAAAAAAGAACATGTATCTCTGAAACTAACTAGCATCCCTCTTGTATATATATATATATACACACACATTTATCTATATATGACAATATATATAATGCACGAGAATCCTGCCATTAATATGGAGTCAAAACGTATGCAAGCTTATTTTCGTGGGAGGCTATTTTTTTATTTGGAACCAGTGACCACCTCACAGTGGAGCTCTATATATGTATGATCTCTATACTTGCATTTCCAAGTCCTTTGAGCTTATGAACGTCCCATGAAAGCCATAAGGAACCCTATAAGGAAGCTTAACCGAAGCCTCCAACTGTAAATTCATGGCATTTACTATCAAAAGCTCGGATTTCCATGTATTCTCATCGTGAACAAACGATATAACATACCCATCATCTTCTCTCTCTGAATTTACATCCCTCGGTACAAAGTACGGCTCACCGCCATACCTTCCGTCGCCGTAAAGGAACTTCTCAAATTCTCCGGTGAAAAGGTTCACCTTCGCAAAACCGGAAACCTTAGGCCACGGCTCAGCAATGGCTAAATATGCATATTGAGTTCTTCTCCCAAGTTTATTACGATTCACCATACCAGCTTCCAAATTCATCTGATCGGAGCATTGAATTATAGACCGGCAAGTTGACTCGCCGGTCTTCAAATTGAGCCGAAATTCCGATAACACACTCTTTAAATTCTCGTCGCATTCGTTGAAAATGGAGTCCGGCGGTGTCATGCATGATCCGATGACCACCACGGAATCCGACTCAGGTTCCTCCCAAGCGTTCCATAGATGGAAGCAGAAGGTCTCCGGCAATTCTACCCATATCGCATCCGAACTTTTTTGAGCATTTTTGGGTAGAATTCCGAACCGAGACTTCTTATTCTTGTCGTAGATCACCGGAGAGCCACCCCTTATCATCTCTTGGAGCTGGAACACCACTTGCTGGTCCGGTATGATCACGTAGTTCTCGGTGATGGCGAAGTCATGGATCATTGTGGGTACGTCAAGGGGTAATTCTACGTCCGGTGACTTCTCTCCTTCCGGGGAGAATCGGAAGTACTTTAGATACGGCTTGCAAATGACGTCGTAGCTGAGAGCGAAGAGCTCACCGGAGATTGGGTCAAGCTTCGGGTGGGCGATCATGGTGGACCTAAGCTGCTTGTTGAAGTTGTACCGGCCAACTGTTTCTAGATCACCGGAGGGTGTGATACGGATTTGGTACGGAAGGTCATCCTCCGACATGGCGAGTAGTCGCCGGTTGAAGTATATCAGTCCGGCGTTGGCCACTCCGATGCCGTGATTGTGGTCGACGAGCCCGAACAGTCCTCTGGCGTAAAAGAGGAGTAGTCGGGCGATGCCTGAGTGTCCATGAAGCTCACCGATGGCTTTAGGGAAGACCGGCCGGCCCAATTCTAGCTCCTGAATGAGGCGGTGAGTCTCCGTGAACCGGCAAGCGTAGCTGACAGAATTGCCGCCATTGATGGTGACTGCATGAACCATGCCATCTCCGTCGAACAAGTGGTGTCCGGCGACCGGCTCGAATAATGGATTGGCTCCGTTTCGGACGTAGACGCCGCGAATGCAATCGGGTATTGTGCCGGTGACCGGTAATGAGTGGCAAACTGGTTGCTCCGGCACGGGAGCAAAGTTTCCGGCAATTTGAACACGTGGGTCGGTGGTTCTTGGAAGCGGGTGGTGGCGGTGGCGTGAGAGTAAAGCTTCCTCCACCATGTCTATGGCTTTAGCAGCAGCTTTCTGTAGTAAGTTCCATTGTTGGGTACGTTGAGCTGTTTTGGAGGCATCAGCTGAATCCACTGTTGGTGATTGTTTTGGGTGGTAAAGCAGTGAAGGTGAGTGTAAAACACAAGATATTTGGGGTCTTCTGTTGGGCTTTTTCATGGTTATAATGTTGTTTGATGTGAAACCCAGATGATCAATTCTTGATGATGATGAAGAAAAATTGGGAGGGATTTGGGGTGTGGCACATTTACTGGAATTTGTTGCCATTGTAGAAGAAGCCATGGTTTAATTTCTTAGAGAGAGAGAGAGAGAGAGAGAGAGACTTTTTTTGGAAGAATGGGAGAGGGAAGTGGGTATAAATAGAGTGTGGAGTGTGGAGGGTGTGGAAAGAGAGAATATTAATGTAAATGGCAATGAATATATATGTGGAGGTAGACCTCAGACGTCGAAGAGAGAGCACGTGGTGGATTTGTGGAAAAGGTTATTGGGAGGGACATTAGAGGTTCGGCTGTGAGGGACATAAATGGCCAATACATTATACATTATATAAAATGTCTAATCATTTTAAAATTATTTGTAGTTAAAGAGTGTGTAATAAGACAGCAAACATTTAACTTTTTCTACACTCATGAATAAAAGTCTGTGTGTTCTAAATTTATTACTCACTATTTCTTTACATTTATGATTTAATGTTGTGTCAATTTAAACGTACATTGTCCCCTACTTGGAGATTCTGTATCTATAATTTTTGCTGCCTTTTAATCTCAATCTGGGAACTTTCGTTTGTCAGGGTCAAGGCCAACCATTTTCCACTCCTCTTTCAACCACGCAATCTTGTTCACATTAACCACTACCAAGCTAACGTCAATATGTATACACGGTATATAAACCAGCAATGATCTATAAAATTGTCAGTCTCCATGGAAAAACTATGGCCATTTTGTCTGCGAATATATATATTCCACATCCGGAAAGAGAATTAATATTTTTGGTTAAGATACCCTTTGAAATAATAAGCATCAGTTACAATCATAATTGTGTCTGTTAAGACTGTTACATCCAATATGTAAGTGATTCTTAGCCCACTTCTCAAAAAGATGGAAAAGAAATCTTGTATAAAGAAGTAATTTCCTTGTTTGGTTGATTTTGGATATTTCAGTTTCTAGATCCTTGGACCATTGTAGAGGGTCCCGCAATATGTAGTCCATGTGAATAACTTGTTGCAGCACACCATTGGTTTCACTGGAAATGAAGATGATGGCATTGATCAATGAAGGTGGTCAAATTAATTGTACTAAATCTTAATTTGTTCTCTAGTAATAATCTCATTTGGGTTTCTACTTCTTCGGTATCAAGGGCAACCAGAAAAAGAGAGATGGACGTGAGTCACGTGACTGGGATGAGTATATATATATATATATATATATATATATATATATATATATATATTATTTTTTCGCAATTGCAATAACATTCGTGAATGTGATGTACTGGACTCAAACGAATATCGATATATTCTTGAAAATAGTTACAAATTGATCGAGCAATATGTGTATAATGAACCATACTTTTTTTTTTTTTTTTTTTTAATCGTGGGTGTCCGAATCAGTTTACCCGCACCTCGACTAATCTCATTAGGCCTGAAGTTAATTATCCAGTAAGCCTCCAACGACTCTGTAAAGACTCAAACTAGTGACCATTAAAAAAACAAATCCAAAACCTAACCTGAGCTACCAGCAGGATTTATGACAAACCATACTTGCATCCAACCAAAGCCGCAGTTGACCTCCTGAAGATTAGTATTTAGTTAACTACTAAAATTATATATATGTATATATCTCTCCCTCGAAATATATAATTTTTTTTAAGTGAAAAATTAAGTTTATCTAACTAATAAAAAAATATAAAAAAGGTGTAACCAATAGATGTTCGTGAGGTAACATCTTGTGACACTTGTATAAAACATTTATTTGTCAATTTTTTATTTTATTTTTAAATCAGGTAAGCAACCGCAGATCATCATGAGATAACATCATGTGACACTTGTATAAATAATTTATTTTTCACTTTTTTATGTTTTACTTTTTTTCATATCAGATAACCACACACCCACTAGAGTCAAACTCATTTGAAGATGGAGTATATTATTGGATTAATGATGGATTAATTTATTTGCCACTTTACTTTAGACTTGTCGGCTCGACTTGCTTGAGTAACATTACTCATTGAATTTATTCTTACATGATAATTAAAATAAAATAAGTTAATTATAGTGGTAATTCCTTTAGAAGAAGAAGACGACAAAGAAGTTGATGATGCCGATGATTAATTAATAAATAACTAATAAACAATGCCATCGTGTTTGAGGTTGAGGTTGTTACAAAATTGGAAATCAAGCATTTATAACTTGTGGGTCTCATTGGGACCAATATATGAGTAACATATCAATACATGTCACAGACATGTTTTTCTCTATACGGCTGGTCCTCGCAACCACCTGCGATGTTTAGGCCGAATTTGGTATCCGTCGTGTTGTGATTGGTTGGATGAACTTAATATTTTTACAATGTTGAAGAAATATAATCATGACTCTATGAATTTGTTTAGTTCTCATATATGTTTGTATTCTTAAATTTAAATTTTTTAGGTGATCCTGACTATATGATTCCAATTAAAATATGTCAAGTCACAAATTTGTTAATTATATTTAAATTTTTCAAGACTTGACATGTTTTGATTAGGAGGATCCATATAATCCCAAATTACCAAATAATTTATCTTTGTGATCATAATATTTAAGAACTTGGAAGCTTTTTTCTTTTAGCTAGAGATGATGGCTTTGTGTTGGCAAATTAGTTCGGATTTTAAGGGCAAACACAAAACAAATCTTTCAAATTCACAGGATGTGAAAGAGGTGATATGTGAGTGAAAGCATGAATTCCACTACATGATATCAGGATAATCATGTGATGAGCCATCTGATGGGGGCATTGTTTCAGTCATGTCTGAGCATGGTTCGCTATAACGTATAAGTTGATTCGAAACTTTTTTTTTAAAGGTCCGATATCGTTACATATTTTCAAAGTCAATTTATATGGATATTCACCTGCGTCAATTACACCGCGATCGCGAATGATTCTGTAACATGTGTTTAAGGCATTATAATCATTCACACTGTTTCTAAATAATTTATATATAATTCCAAGATAAATGCATGACAAACTGGCGTTAATTGCCTTGCATATATATATATATATATATATATATATATATCCTTAGCCAACTATACAAGTTGCATGAATTTGTTAAGACAAGGATGGAGGAAAACATCCAAATAAGATCTTTAGTTTGGCCAATCATTTCATTGCATATAATGGATGGTTGTAAAAGTATAGTTTCAAGGGAAAATTACATATAAATGGAGTCAAAATTCCATATTTACTTAGAGGCTGAGTCAAAATTCCATATTTCTCTAAAATGGATTGCTGAGGTGGCACATGGTTTTTTACTGTTTAGAAATTGTGGTGCCTAAAATACCCTTCCGCGAAGGTACTACTTTTTCTTCGAAGGTACTACTTTTTTGAACTGACGGTACTACTTTTTGGCGTCCAGGTACCATGTTTTTTAAACACCCACGAAAGTACTACTTTTTCTTCGAAGGTACTACTTTTTTGAACTGAAGGTACTACTTTTTTGAACTGAAGGTACTACTTTTTTATTAGGAAAGGGCATTTTAGGCACCACAATTTTCTAAACAGTAAAAAACCATGTGCCACCTCAGCAATCCATTTTAGAGAAATATGGAACTTTGACTCAGTCTCTAAGTAAATATGAAACTTTGACTCCATTTATATGTAATTTTCCCTAGTTTCAACTATAAGGACAAGCTATGATGTTAATAATAATCCAGTTGTAAATTAAAGAAGTGACACTTCAGTCGCCACTTAGCATTCCCACAGCTCATCATCTGATTGTCTCGAAACTGACAAACCACCAAGTGGCTTCATGTAATCTACTTCATGAAATAATACTTGGGGCAACTGGGTGGATAGAGTTCGAATTCTCGTATAAATAAATAGATGCGTGTGTTATTTGTTAAAATTGTAAAATAATATAAGATTAAAAAGAAAAGAAGTCTGCAACAATATTGCATGATTTAATTTAAATATAAAGAGTTACGTTCACAGAAGAAAAGAAATTTTGTTTTATTTGGTATTAGACACGTGTGTTATTCGTTAAAATTATAAAGTAATATGAGATAGAAAAGAAAAAAAGTACGTAACAATGATACATATCTATCACCATATTAACCTATATATAAAACAAATCTCATAAATCTCTCCTCTCCGCCGACACTTTGTCTCAAGTTGGTGCAAAAATATCAATAAAGCCAAACTTGGACAATATTTCTTGAAACTTGACAGCAAACAGTCATTCGATAAAAATATTTGCTAATTGTAAGTCACAGCAAACAAAGGTCAATTACTGTATTAATTGAGAAATTAATTTAGTTCAAAGGTCTAATCATTTTCTTGTTATGGAATTAAGAATTTGGTTATCGTGGAATGCTTGGCAGTTGGAACATTGAAGGCACAAGGATCCAAATGAAGATAAATAGAGATATTCAGTACTAGAACATGTTATATTGTGTAGTCACAAAAGTCAAGTGGGAAAGGTATAAAAATTCCAAGAGGAAGAAAGGATAAAAGTGACGTAAATAAATAAATGAATGAATAAAATGTTGATCGAGCTGATTTGTTGCACGTGCCTTTATGACTGGATAAAAGATTTGCCACGGTCAATCATATATATATATATATATATATTTAGTTGGTGCCTTAAGATTTGAATCCCTAACTTTTCTTTAAAAAATAAGAGTCTTCCATTACTAGACTATAGATTTATTGATAACCATATTTATGTGGAGAGACAAAAACTAAAAAATTGTGCCGGAAGGGTGAAAGTGGAATTTTCTTTTTTAATTCCAGGATCGAGTGATAACATTAAAATTTCATAAGTATATATTAAAAAGAAAATTATTAATAGATAATACTTAATAAAAAAAATCGACGAGGGCAATTGCCCGTCAACGCCTATTCATATGTGCACGTGTGAACATGCAAGCTCACATGGTCGGGTGTTGTAATTTTTGAAAAAATAAATTATAAAATTTTCAAAAAAAAAAAAAAAAGGGCCCACATGTGTTGAATCCTAAGGTAAATCTATCCCAAGTTTTTCCTTAGCCATTTATTGTTTTTTGCATTTACATTTTCTCACTGGTATTATCCTAGTGAGTTTGTGATATCAAACAGAGATTTTCAATACTTCTATACGTGGACGGGTTTTGAAAATTAAAATTCAAAGAATCTGTACAATCAACAATTTTTACAGATATATAGTGGGATTCGATTATGAGCATCAGACA